TATCTCATTTTTTTTCAAATGGAACAAGGGTGGCTCATTAGCATATTTGGAAAAAGCATTTTTTTTACAAATAATGTGGTACCACACACATTATGAATCGCATGTTGCAATTTCAAATAAACCATATTCTAAAATGTCAAAAGTTGACATATGATAAATCATTCTATTCAGAGTGTCATTTTCTATCGAATAAAGTAACAAAATACCGAGGTTACGATTTAAAAATCAAAAGTTGTAGTCATTTCCGGTGAAACAGGAAGTGACCGAAAACAACTGAATACGCCAATCAATCGTAATTTATGTCATAGACTAATATACCAAATCTCGATTTTTTATCTGAAAAAATAAAAAAGTTATAGGGGTGAGCCACTTTTGAGACGCACCCGGTATATGAAATGGCATTCGCAGGTTTAACACTAGGTTGTTTATTTCCTGGTTCTAAACCTGCGAACGCCATTTCAAAAATATTTGTTTGATCTCCCTGTATGATGTCCAATGATGTCGTGTGATTTAAACAGATCGAATATAATAATATAATTAAATAATATAATATAATTTAATTTCTTTTTTTTTATTAATATTATATAATATAATTTCTCTACCTTTAAACTCAGCATAAGAACTAATTCTGAAAAGTAATGTGCAGGGTGTTAATAATATATTCTATTGTAGCATGCAAATTTAAATATCTTCAAATATCTCAAAAACCAAAGATTTGAAACATATTTAACCCTTATAATAAATACCTTTTTTTGTGCCCAATAATCCAAAAATGAAATAAAATACCGGGTGTTCCATAAGAAAAAATATAACTTTGGTATGGATCTTAGTTCTGAAACACACTGTACATTTCAAAATAATTTTAAATTGTGCACATTGTCTCCCCACATATATCCATAAAATATTTTGTTTCTACATCTTTCCGTTTTCGTATAATCAGCGAAGGCGAATGAGGTGCGCCACCCTGTATACAGTATTTGACTAGCAAACTGCCTAAACTAATATGAAAGTAAAAAAGTAATTTCAAAGTATTTTAGCTAGAAGTAACAACATTAAACAAACCACCCTAATTCGTTATATTACATTACTTGTTTTAAGCATACTTATAAAAACTTTTTATCAAAGAACATCAAAAATTTATGTTTACAAAAGCAAACTTTTTTCATTCAATATAATGAAAAATCCTTTTCAAATAATTTATTTCTCGAAAACTTCTCAAACAAGTGAATTAATTAAAAATAACTTTTTGTATACTTGTGCTTCATTTCACTTTGATAAGACTTTGAAAAGAGAAATAACCAACATAAACTTAATATTATAATAAAAAAAAGTAGTTGTTTAACACAATTTATTTTTTTCTTGTTTCTTTTTTGTACTAAATTGTTATTTTCGACATTTCATATATTTAAATACGGGCCATAATGTTGACTCTATATTATTTTTTAAGTGCTTTTTGGTTCAGTGAGTGGTCACATAGCTTTAGAATGCAAATTTATATACATAATGAATGTGTCATATAGCTGCATGCGTTGTAAAAAGCGCAGTAAAAGATATTACGGCATTTATAAAATATGCTTTATTTAAATAATATTCTTTCGCTTTTTTCAATTAAAACTGAAATTTAGTTATTTTATTTCAAATAACTAAATTTTAATATTAAATAGTGGTATAGTCTGTCCAACGACAAAAAACTTGACAGTGTCTGTTATTTTAATTTCAAAGTAGTTTATTTTATTTTAAAAAGAAAAGTTGATACAATTGGAACGCATAGTAGAAAATTAATATATGTAAAATTTGTGTGACAAGTGATTACTTCAAAATATTGTAAAAAAATCGTTATTTTATTAAAAATGAGACTATGGCATGTGTTAATACAAAACAAGAAGGGGTGTGTTTTAAACAAAACCACCACATACCAAAAAAATATAAAAAAAGATTTCTTGCTTTCAAACTCAAGCAACTTCCTGCATGTATTATTACATTTTTTATCAATGTAACTTAAAAATATATTTTTTAATATTGCAAAGGAATAAATAAAACGAAATATTTTGTTAATGTTAATGCTTACTGAATTTTACACCTTAAAAGTTGGTTAATTAACTTTAATCTTAATTTTTTTAAACCAGTACCTTGCCAGTACGACATTATCTCTCTACAATGCTAAAATGTATTATTTACCTATCGTGTGTTGTTATTTTACAGATACTCCAGTTTTTGGTACCATATACGAGATGGTATACAAACTTTATTTGTGGCTATAACAACATCTGGCCATAGTCTTTGGGAACTATCTTTAGCGGTCTCTAGGCACCGAATATTAACTGTAAACTATGGTCTAGGTCAACATTATTTTTCCCTCGAGTTTTTCTCTACTTAATTTAAAAAACACGAAACACACGTAATAACACAGTCCAAAATGCAAAATACTTATCATATTTTTTTTTAATTTGACACAAAATTATAACCTATAATTTGGCAAGAGTTTAACAACTCTATGGACAACTCTCAAAAATCTTAAGTCGAGTTCATACGCATCGGCGGCAGCGCGGCGTCCGTTTGTCGTTCATCGTTCCGTCGAATCACTAATATTGAAATATAATCTGTCATTTTTGAAATAAACCAATAAAACTGGTTAAAAACAACAAGAGACGACGCATGACGGATTTATATATAAACCTCGATATAAACCCATCCATAGTTAACTTAAAAAATATTAGAAACTTTGTTTAGTGAAATAAATGGATTGGTATGGACGTCATCTGCTTTTTTCCTGTCATCATCTGTCGAAATCTTACTCAAAAAAAAACACAGAGTATAACTTTGTAGAGAAGATATTCTGATTCAAAGAAGAGATTTTTTAGTGGTGTTTTTGTCAAAGTTTTGCTTCAACAAATTTTTATAATACAGGGTGAGTTTCCTACGATGTTCTCTATGGGTGTCTCGGAAACTACTGGAGATAGAGAGTTGATTAAATGGGGAAAGAATTGCAGTTATGTGGGGTCATAAATATGCGCTTTTTAGATTTTTGAAAAACTTCATGGCTTACTAGATATTTCGTAAAAAATAAATTTTGGCTATTTAAAAATTGTCCCTAATTGGATTATAATCTATTTTAGACAAACAGTTTTCAGATAAAAGTTGTAGAAAATCACATCCCTAATGAGTCTATGTTCTCCCTTTTTTTTAAAGCCTGTCATTTTTGACATATAACACAAACATGTTTTTTTTTTAAATGGAAACCATAGTTGGCCATGACTTTGTAAAAGGCGCCATTTTTTAAGCTATTCAGCGATATAAGCTATAATATGTTTTTTTCAAAAAATTACTGAGTTATAGCTAATTCTTATCATTATTAAACAATTTCGCTTAGTTAGCCATGGAAACAAGTTCAATCGTTGTTGCTCTCAGAAATGTATGTGAAACTGTCACATCGAAACTTTTTAAATTAAAATAAACAAAATGTGTAAATATGAATTTATTTTAGAAAATGTTCAAAAATCCGCCATTGTTTTGAGTACATAAATGCATCTTTTTAAAACTGAATTTCTAGCTATTCTCACAGAACGACCGATCGAATTAAACTTCTCCCGTACCATTCCGTACTTCGTCCGCATAATTATGATATAAATAATTTTTATCATTTCTTTGATTCTGGGGGAGTGTGTCATAATAAAAGTCATGTTGAAACCACTCTATTGATGCGCGAGTATCTAAATTTAACTTTTCTAACATGTCTTGAAAACCATTGTCTAAAAAACGTTCACCGGTCAACGTATCCTCGAACATGTATGGCCAAGAAAAGTTGAATCAAAAATCCTACTAAAAATACATATTTGCAATTTTTGTTTATTTTAATTTACAAAGTTTGAATGTGACAGTTACACATTTCTGAGAGCAACGATGATTGAACTACTTGTTTCCATGGCTAACTAAACGAAATTGTTTAATAATGATAAGAATTGGCTATAACTCAGTAATTTTTATTATATTTTATTATAGCTTATATAACTGAAAAGCTTAAAAATGGCATTTTTTATAAAGTCAGGGCCAACTATGGTTTCTATTTAAAAAAAACACATGTTTGTGTCATATCTCAAAAATGTCAAGCTTTAGAAAAAATCAGAGAACACAGACTCATTAGGGATGTGATTATCTACAACTTCTATCTGAAAACGTTTTGTCTAAAATAGATTATAATAGAATTAGGGACAATTTTTAAAATAGCCAAAATTTACTTTTCTCGAAATATCTAGTAAGACATGAACTTTTTCAAAAATCTGAAAGGCGCATATTTATGACCCCACAAAACTGCAATTCTTTCCCTATTTAACCAACTCTCTGTCTCCAGTAGTTTCCGAGATACCCATAGAGAACATCGTAGGAACCTCACCCTGTATAATAAGCATTAATTTTAGTGGTCTGCGTTAATTTAGTGTGAATTACTTACTTTTTATATAACTAAAACTATTGGAAAAGAAAATGGTAATCATACCTAATTAAATTATGAAAATAAATGTAAAAAATGCTTCATATAGATGCAATAAAATTACCGTATTTTTATAAAAATTAGTTTTTTTGTACAAATATGAAGTAAATTTGTTCTGTATATTGATCGTGCCTCTTACTGTTATTATTAGCCTGTGATTTATTATCGTATGAAAAAGGAAATTAATGAAATTATTGATTTATTTATGTTATAAGCGAGTAGTGAATATATTTGGAATTTTTATTTTCCTCCTTTTTCGGGAATTTCCTAGATTTTATATTTCAGAACAATTTGACAAACATAATTTTCATATAATATGTAGCTTACTATCTAAAACTGATACAACATGTACTAAATTGCTTTACATAAGAATAAATTTAGTTCGAAAATTAGTTTTATATAAATAATAGTGCATACTAAATATAAACAATTATTATTGCTAGTTCCATGCCCGTTCAGCTACGAAATATCCAAAATAAGTTTTGTTATTGAATGTTTTCTGTTTTCTTTGCAGAATCGTTTAGCCAGTATGCCTATCTCAGAATTCAGAAAGAAGAAACTCTTGTACATCTTCAATGTATTTTTTGGTAAGTAACTTATATAGTATATTGACTTTTATTTTATTTTTTTTATCCTGTACTGTGCTAAAATTAATGTTAATTTTTATACATTTAACTTACCTATTAAAACTTAATACAGAAAATAGATTTCTTTGTAAAATAAAAATATGTTGAAAGAAAAAGTGGCAATCATACCTAATTAAATTATAAAAAAGTATACTTGAGTCATTACATATTGTAAAAGGGTAATTTCATTTTTTCTTTCGTCTGCCATTACAAGAGCTAATGTAACATAAAGATTTTTGATCCTGCGTTCTAGTCAAAGTTATTTCGATTTACAAATTTTATTATTACTTTTTGATGCCATATTGAAAGTTGTACATTTTTTTCTTAGCTATCAGTATATACTTGTGCATTCAAATTGAAAAAAACTAGTAACTAAGGACAGTTACCATTTAAAAATGAAAACTTTACGAAACCAAATAAATATAATTTGTTCAATACATTCAGACTGCTTAAAGTATTCCTAAAATAGTAAATTGTAGTATTTTCAATTTACATTTCTGTTTCCTATAGTTTATGAAGAGAACAAAATTGTTTATTGCTGAACATTTTGGTATAAAAAAACAAATGTTTTGTTTTTTAATACTTCGTTTTTAGGGTTCCGTACCCAAAGGGTAAAAACGGAAACCCTATTACTAAGACTTCGCTGTCCATCCGTCCGTCTGTCACAAAGGTCTATCTTATGAACCGTTATAGCTAGACAGTTGAAATTTTTACAGATAATGCATCTATGTTGCCGCTATAAGAACAAATACTAAAAACAGAATTAAATAAATATTTATAAATAAGAAAGCACTTTCACTAAACATTATCTTTTAAGTAAGAATTTTACATAGAATCTTTCAAGTCCTCGGTGGCCGCGTGGTTTAAAGCGTTAGGACTTTACGCTGCTATGACGTTGGAGCCGTAGTAAGGCAGGTTCGAATCCTAGTCAAGGCGACTTTTTTTTAATCGTTTTTTTTACATATATATTTTTACATATTTATTATTGATTAATACAATTTTTAGTAATGCGTTTCTCCATTTTTTTTAAATTACTTATACGCGCATTCAAAATTTCAGCTAAATCGGAAAAAACGTTTATAATAATATAGTGTCTAATGTTGTATAGATAATGAATGGTACGGAACCCTTCGTGCGCGAGTCCGACTCGCACTTGACCAATTTTTAATATCCTTATCAAGCAAATACAATCTTAAATGCTAGTAAATAGTTAAATCGATAGGGTATCCCTAAAGTCAAAAGAAAATGAAAAGTTAGATGTGTTTTTCATTATCCAATTCAGTTAGAAATAACTAACAATAAATAATTGCACTACTCACACAATAATTAACAATAAATATCTAATAATAAAATAGTTATAAATAATAATCTCTTAAAATATAGCCGTAAAAATAATTATCTCTTCTTTTTTTAGAAATTTAGACTCTTAACAATATCCAGTTTTTTTTTAAATCCATTATCATTTGTTAAGAAGTACCAATCGGCAGTTAATATTTTGCAAGACCATTTAATTGGACTTAAAAGGAACAAAAAATATTAATGATAATAATATATTTTTAATGTTGATCATAAATAGCTTTTCAGTATTCGAGAAGTAAATCTTAATCTATTATATATATAGAGCAATATATTTTATCTACGATAAAATATATTGCTCTACAAGTTCGACTTGAGTACCGTGGAAACTAGGACAATGAAAACATAACCGTAAAAAGCGTGGAGATGCAATCGTTCCATTAAATTTTTTGAGCTCTTGTTGAAATAAAAAAGTGCGGAGCAAAAATAAAACAAAATGAGAGATAATAAAGGTAAATGTAAACGATTCTTTTCTATCTGATGTGTCCTTATTTGTCTGTCTGTCGTTTTTTTTTCTTCTCTAATTTAGTCTAACGATATACACATATTTGAAAAAAAAACTATTACATATTTTCAAAAATTAGTTAAAAATTAGAGAAAAATAGTGTGTGCACTATGTGCGCATATTTGCAAAAGTAATATATAATGCTGTTTTAATATAAATGTTATTTTCAATTTATTTCTGTAATCTGTACAGGGTGTCCCATTTTAGTTGAAATCATACGGTATCTCAGTTATTAGTAAAGATAGGAGGATGCGGTTTGCAGAAACCTGTCCCACTTTTTTGTCAAACGAAAGATGCTGTAAACAAAATTTTCATAGCCCTCTTTGTTTCGGAGCTACAGGGTCTTTTCGAAAATTTTGCAATTTGGGACAGCCCCAGTATCTCCGTTATTGTGGATGATATCGAGAAGATGAAAATTGATTCTTGTAGAACTTTTTACGTACAATACAGTGGCGTAGTCTATTTTTTTACGGAAAAAATATTTTTGAAAATATGGACTATAGTTATGTTTTTTCAAATGGAACACCCTGTATATTTATAAATCATATGATCCGTCTTTCTATGAGCTTCTCAAAAATATATATTACTCTATATTTATTTTCACTATTTACTTCAATATTTAAAATATATCATTTTTTTATTAGTAGGCCGTGATAAATAACATAAAAATCAAAATTGTATTTACTAAAATAGTCATACACACATTTGAAATTGTATTTGCCATTGATATATTTTACTTCTGAACTGTTACCACTGAATCTCTGAATATACTATCTTTCTTTCTTTATAACGGGATGGGTTTGCATATATCTAAAAGCTTGCATTATTAAAGCATTTTCCAGGTGTTCGACATTGTTGTAGTTGCCACGAAATATTTCATATTTTAAAAATCTCCTAAATCAGAAATCGAGAACGGACAAATCCAGGAATCAGGGAAGCCATCATAATATGGGTCCGTTGCATTGGTTCCAATTCATTGATTTGAGAAATAATAATTTAACAAAATTCTAATATTTTCAAAGTTGTTAGGGAAAGCCCCATCTTGCTGAAAGTATATTTCACGTAAATGAGCTAAAACATATCTAAAAATTTCGGTACGATAACTTCCAAGAATTACAAATAGCGGTAGAGAGTTAAGTTTTCCTAATATTTATAGAAACAATTTATTAGTGGCCCCTAAAATAAAACAAGAGATAGACAGCAGTATATTGTTAATAATTCTTTATTTTCTTTTATTATCAATCATGGCCAAATGCATGGCCTACTAATAAATATGATTTTTTAATAAAAACTTCTAAATATTGCAGTAAATAGTGAAAATAAATATAGAGTGATATATATTTTTGAGAAGCTTATGGCAAGCCAAATCATATAATTTATAAATATAGAGGGTATTCCATTTAAGAAAATATAACTTTAGTTCATATATTCGAAAATATTATTTTTGTAGAATAACAGACTACGCCACTGTATTCTCCGTAAAAAGTTCTACAATAAACCTTTCGATACCGATATACCAACCGATACCTTTCGCAATAACAGAGATACGGGGATGTCCCAAATTGCAAAATTTTCAAAAATACCCTGTAGCTCAGAAACGAAGAGGGCAGTGAAAATTTTGTGTGGGACAGGTTTGTGCAAACCGCATCTTTCTATCTTCACTAATAGATACCGTGTGATTTCAACTAAAATGGGACACCCTGTACAGGGTGGCTCGAATTCGACGCTCATCATTGGGATTTCGGAAACCGTAAGAGATACGGGATCGGTTAAATGGAGGTAAAGTTACGCAATTTGATGCTCAATAAAATGCCGTATTGCATTTTTATTTTTATTTATTTATTTTTTTGCATAAAATATTCTGGTGATGGAATTTTCTGTACAAAAAGTCGCGTCGGCAAATATCAAAGTGAATATATATAGTGTTTTAAGAGTGATGAAAGAATTTAATTAATATTAGTATTTTAATAAAGCACGCTTTTAGATGTTTCAAAAAACTTTTAATAAGAGTAACTTTAACTCAACATATATGTTTCGGCTTGTTAGGCCTTTTTCAAGAGTTTTTTAAGAACTAATCGTCTAACTACACTGTAACTATATATATATTTACTATGGGGGTGGGTTCAGAGAGTTTACAATAGGGGTAATAAAAAATGTAGAGAGAATTTAGAAATCCTTGTTGGTCGTTAACATTATTTTCGTTTTTAACAGATTTTAGTATTTCTAACTGTTCAATGTAATTTAAGCGTCTACCTTTTGTTTCTCTGTGTAGTAACTTAATTGAGTTTTCATTAATTTTGTGATTATTTACTATACAATGAGTTGCAAGACCAGAACTTTGCTGGAGATTATTAATAGACTTTACATGTTCTTTAATCCTTATATCTAAATTTCTACCTGTTTGGCCTATGTACACGGCATCACAATCATTGCAATCCACTCTATATACACCCGACTTATTTTTGACATTAGTTTTGTCTTTATTATTTAATAAAATTTGACCTAAATTTCTTTTATTTACGTTAATAATTTTACATCCTATTTTATTGAGATTATTTAATATTTTGTTAGTTAAATTAGGAATGTAGTTTAAAAGTCGATAATTGTTATTGTCTTTAGAATTAGCGGAATAAAAATTTTTCATTAATATTTTCTTTTGTTTTTCTTTAGCATATTATCAATAAGGGAACACTTATATCCATTGTTGATGGCGATTTGTTTAATAATATTTAACTCTTTTTTAAAATTCTCTGGGCTCAATGAAAACATTACTAATCTATGAATTAAACTATGAAAGGGTGACATTTTGATTTGCCAGGATTGGTGTGATTGACTATGTATTACAATGTCTGTGGTAGTGGGTTTTCTGTAAATATCAAATTGTAATCTATTAGACTGTTTTATAATTGTAACATCAAGAAAATTGATGGTATTAATACCTTTTTCAATTGTAAATTGTATTCTCGGGTTAATTGAATTTAATAATGTTAAAAAACTGTTTAAATTTCTCTCGGTGCCTGACCAAATACAAAAAATGTCATCTACATATCTTGAATTTAATTAAATTGAAAAAAAATCAGGTCCGTATTTAGAAAAATTA